CTTCCCGGAAGCGATGTCTTCCTAGAACCGCCGGCTCTGCGGCCCGGCGGGGAGAGGTGCGGGCAGAGGCGTCGGCTCCCTAGTCTTGGGCCGAGGGCCGCTAAAGGAAACACCTTTGACAGATTTCCAAGAACTTTCCAGGAAAATGGGGCGGGACCCCGCTCACCGACCAATCGAACTGCAGGAGGAGGAGCAGAGTGGTTGAGGAGGACCAATTACAGCGCTTGGACCCGAGGCTGACGTGACTATGTGGGGTTGAGCCTGACCTAGAGACCACTAGGGAATGACCGAGTAGAAGGCCAGGGAGGGGCCGGTGTTCTACAGACCCAAGTCCAGATTTTCTTCGGGCATTCCCCTTCCTTGGGGACAGGACCTCTTATCTCTGAAGAAGTGGTGACAGCAGGAGAGCGGGGTCACGGGCTCGTCTCCTTCAAGGCGGTTTGGTGTGCAGGCGCCCCCTGTGGGCTGCACCTGGACTCTGTGTGTGGGTCGCATGGGATATGGTTTGAAGAGGGACATTGGGAGATGGAAAAGGTGTGGAAGGAGTACTCAGAACCGAGCAGGTCCACGGGGGTCAATCCTGACATCACCACAGCCAAAAGGATCCAGGCAAGAACGTTTTCTCTGAGACCTGGGGGAGAAGTCACCATAGCAACATTTGCACCAAGCAGGGCCATTCAGTCTCGACCCTAAGCTGGCCTCTGGCAGGCCCTCCAGTCAGGGAAGAAATGACTACTGACTTCGGGAGGCAGGCAAGGATAGTGAGCCCCCAGCTCCGCCCACTGGACAGTCTACATGTGTCTCTAGATTGGTGGGCCTCCTAAAAATGTGGGAGACCTGGAGCTCCAAACACCCAGAAACTGTAGGATGATAAGGTAGAGAGAAGGAGCAGTGACACCCCCTCCCATCTACATGGAGCACTTGCTACACTTTATCCTTAACAGCTGGTATTGCCCCCATTATGCAGACAAGACTGAGCCCCGGGGAACAAAAGTCAGAAGCCCATGCTCCTACCCGCAATCCTCTCCACCTTTTCTCAGTTCACTGGACTCCCCAGGAAGCATCTTGAAAGACTATAAGGACTACGTACACCTTCTCCAAGCCCTTAGGCCAGAAAGAGAGGGAGAGAATTGGGGAAGCGACAGGGTCTGCTCCCCACTCCCCACTGTCCAATGTGTATCCTCATGTTCCCAGGGAAGAAGGTAAGATTCAGATCTCCTGCCAGGGATGACAGACTGCTGGCAGTGTCCAGAGGCCTGGATGGTAGTGTCCAGGCTTTCCCCAGGGCAGACAGGGCTGAGCTTGCCCTGCCTGGGAGGAGATGAAAAACAGAGGAATCCAAAAGCAAAGCCCTGTGAAACAGGACAAAATGACAAAATAATTGGTTCAAATGAGAAGTGACTTCAGGGGATCCACTTCTCCATAAATTTCCTAAAGAGAAGTTGAGCTTCAGTGTAGCCCCACCAAAATAGGCTAGAAGCTCCTTTAATGGGATGCTGATGGGCGTGGAACCCTCGTTACTCACTTTGACGGCTGAGGCACCTGGAGATCCCAGCCTGGGGCTCCTGTGTAAGATGCTATCTCTTCAGTAGGAACTGCCTACTGCCCTGCATTACTGTGAAGGCAAAGGGCCTTTGCAGTTGCCAAGCAACAGAGCTGGGATTTGAACCTAGTTCTTTGTAGGGACCAATCCCAAGCTCTCTACCCTAAGGCTGTACCGCTTCCTTCTCACTCTACTTTACTGAACACTTACTATGTGCCAGGTGTGCTCAGCAATTTCCAGCCCATTTTATTTTCTTACTACTACATATTGCCCCCTCTTAATAGGTGATGAAACTGAGGGAGAGAGAGGTTACAATATATCCTAGATCACTCAGGCCCCGTCCTTCCCCACACTTCCTCTTCTTGTGACATGCCAGCTTCTAGGCATCCTTCGGGATCCAACTTTCAGGTCCTCAGTGAAGCCTCCCTGTCTCCTGGCCAGTCAATGGCCAAGCACCAAGGATGTCCCCTTGAAAGCCCCCTACAGAAGTCAGTGATTATGCAGTACTTTGTGTAAACTAAAGGGCCCCAAGGGTTTTGCCCTCCAACCGTCCTTTGTGAATTTGACAGTATAATGCACCTTTCAGGCATGCTAGGGACAGTGATATGCCTCTGTTTTGCCCCAGGTGCCTGCTTGCCCTAGGTGTTGTGAGTCCCTGGAACCATCTAATTATCACCTCTCGCCCTGATTGCTGGGCCAACACTGACACCCAGTGGCAATTCCTCTCCTAGTTTCTTGTGTCAAATCGCCTTAGATTCTCCCTTGCAGAAAAACCCCTGCCTTGCACCCCAGGAACTGGCCTTGCTGCAGAATCTCTCTGCCCCTCCACACTCAGAACAGTCAGAAGATGGGACACGAAAATACACAGGATTTCCTTCCTCAAGGTCTGGCTCATTTGTCTCTATACTCTCATATGTGCAGCCTCTCTTCTCAAAGAACAGTTTGTGTGTGTTGGGGGAGGGAAGGTTCAGCTGCCCCCCTCCCATGCTGTTCAGGCTCTTACTGGACCCCTTGGTCATTGTAAGCTACTCCAAAGGCCTCAGCCCCCATCCCCATAGATGTGCAGCTATCATGGAGGGCTGTGTGGCAGAATCTGCCACCATGAACCCACCCCTGCCCTGGCCCAGCCATCTCAAATACTAAATCCTCCCATCAGTGGGCAGGTGGCAGATACTTACTGGAACATGAGCAGTGAGGGGAAACCATGCATTCTGACTCACCTGGGTTAATCGGTCAGTTGCAAAACAGATGTCCATGATGAAGCCATGTGGGGAACGTATGTAAGCATTGGTACCGGTATGGACACCGCAAGGGGACAGACATCACCATTGAGTACTTTTTACCTTTCTATATGTTTTTTATTTATTATATAACAAGCAAGTTTTACTTATGCAATTAAAATTTTTAATAAAAAGAGACCAGTTTGAAAACTACAAGTATAAAAATTTTAGAACAATTGTAATCTAACTCTATTTTTAGAAAATAAGATATCTCAGAGACCATGGCATGCAGAGAAGTCCTTGTCTGTGACAAGGAGCCTGCCTCCACCCTCAACTCCCTAGCCTGCTGCTTATGAGTTGAGACCTGCTTGTCCAGAATGAAACATTGCTCAGCTTTGGGTTCATCTGGCTCAAACCAGCCACCCCCATAGAAGAAGGAGGATCCTTTTCTAGTCTCCAAGCAATGAAAACATCTGGATCACAGGCTTTCTTCAAGGCTCTGGGATCTTGGATCAGATTCTTAGGTGAGGCTCAAGGACAGAAGTCCTGGTCCAGCTAGGCATGAATGTGTGTGTGTTGTGTGCATGCCTGTGTATCTCTATGTGCATGTGTGCACATATGTAAATGTGTGATTGTGCATATGTGAACACGTGTGAGAATATGTACATATGGATGTGGGAGGGGGCAGAGGGGCACAGGAGAGGAGGGCATAATTTGAGGGTGAGAGCTGGGCCCTGGAGTTGTTCTTTGGAGGTTGGGATGGCGGCTCTGCCATGACAGCTACTGACCTCAGGCAGGTTTCTTGACCTCTCAAGACTTGTCTGTCTTATGTGTCTGTGTTGCAGGCTGTGTGGGACTGGTACTGCCCTCTTCTCCAGTCCCAGTGAGGTCATGGGGTGCCAGATAGAGGACTTCCCCAGTGTCTGGTCCAAAAGAATGGTTCAGTACACCTAGTTGAGGCTATCTTCAGGGCCTCTGCTTTTCTGAACCCTACTAGCTTGAAGGTCTCCTTAAGGAGACAGGGCAGACCCTCAACACACCCTCATCCAGCTCAATCACTGTACAGAGAGGGTGCCCTTTCTCCTGGAGCTGCTACACTGAAGAGCTTGGATAAGACATCAGTGTGCATCCACCTGTGTGTGTATGTGTGTTGGGGGTGCATAGGACAGAGAGCTTGCGGGGCCCCAATCCCAGAGCCAGAAGATACCTTTGAATACTTAAGTATATACATAGATAACCCATGGTTGGGAGAGGTCGCGTTCCTGTAGTCCCGTTAATGGTCGGTAGATGGCAGCAGAGGACCGTGCAGGGATCCTGCCCTACCTCGCACCTTCCCAGTCCCAAGCCCGACATCTCGTTTGGGATTGGGGGCGGGGTGTGAGAAGGATGTACGGGAGTAGTGCAGATTTGTCCAAGGAGACAGCCACACACCCCGCGGCTCTAGACAAGTTGTTTCCTCTCAGGGGTCCTCAGTTTTCTCATCTGTGAAATAAGAGTTAACAGCCTGTGATAGGAAAACCAGTTTATTTATGTAAGGTAATCTAAGATGGGCTCAGAGTAGAGGCCTAAATGTGGAAGGGAAAACCATTTAGCTAATAAAGAATATCTGCCACTGGAGTGGAAGGAGGGGGCTTTTTAAACACACTAAAAGCTCAAACCATAAGGTGAAAAGTTGATGGATCTGACCAAATGGGAATTTAGAATTTTGGTCCAAGGACGCTGTATTCCCAACAGAATATGAGCAAGAGATGCACAGAAAGGGAGAGATGCCAGTGCTAGAGAGACGCCCAGAGCCACCAGGAACCAGAGAGACGAGAATCACAAAATTCCATTTCACTTGGCACGTTGGCAAAAATTTAGACTTTAGGTACTCTGGCGATCGGTCACTATTAAGGAAGTCAGAAGACTTACAAGTTACTTTGGAGGGTTTCCTAGCAGCGTGCAGAGAAAACAACCGACTCAAGAGGCTACCTGAATCTCCAACAGAAACAAGACGTCTGTGCTTTCACTTCCCTAGTGGTTGGTAAAATTCGGGGCTCACACAGCCCACGCGGGACCCGGCTGCGCTAGCCCTGGGATCTCCCCGGCCGCCGGTGGAGCCTAGGAGGTTTC